GTCAAGATTTGGATAGACATAAATTGTAATGTGTGTTTTACATATAAAATTTAATTTTCAGTTTATGGTAAATAAATATGTGGTAAAATGTAATGGTCAGATCAGGGATTTATAGAACATTGTATTTGCAGACACTCATCTTTTTCTCTCTTTAATCCTGCCTACAAAGTTTGCCTAAAGAAATGCCATGCATCTACCATTACCATGGGGGTATTTGGGAACATAGGAAAACAGATGGCAGTGCTTTGCAAGGGGTTTCTTTTTAAAATACTGGGGAGATGGCTTCACTTCTTTAATGCATCTTGTGGTGAAAGCAGAATGGCTCAACCAGCTCTAGGTGGCCTTGCTCAAGCAGGGGTTGGACCAGGTGACCTCCGGAGGTCCCTTCCAGCATCAACCCTTCTGTGATGCTGTGGCATCAAGTAGCTAAATTTGAGAGACTCTACAGCACGGTCTCATTAAATAAGCGTGGCCCGTTTCCTCAGCCCCTAGGGACTGTTCTTTCTAATCTCTTGGCACCGCTGAGGAGGTTCTGGAGCTTAATGTGTCTGCATCTAAACACAGCAGGTCTAAATATCCATCTCTTCTTCCCTCTCTAACTTCTGAAGATACAGCAGGAATCTTTCTGGCTCTCAGGAGACAAAGGTATTTGAAGAAGTGTTCATACACTTTACATTACCAGCCAAATGATTTGAATTCTGGCTCTGCTGATGGCTTCAAGAAAATTAGTGCCTTTTATTTAAAACACAGAGGGTGGTACTGTCAGCGTGCTGCAGCTCTGTGTGCACAGCTGTTAAGCATCTTGGTCATAATGCCAGCAGCATTCAGACTTCTCACTACAAGATTTCAGTCTTAGTTCATCAACATCACCAGAGAATTTGCTTTGTAATTCTCTGGGGAACCTTCTTAATTTATATTATTTGTCTAAAACTGATTTTTCTCTCCTTTCTGGGAATTCATCCCTGTTTAATAGCATTAAACACTTCCTGCAATGTTTCTGACCAAAGCTCGGTGGCGGATCTGCCCTGTGCTCACCACGGCACACGTGCAGGACGTTAGGTACTGGAGAGAAACAACACACGTTTGGAGAAAGGTGATGGAAAACCCTTCCCTTCTGCTCCTGTACCACTAGAAAGGGCTGTCCAGAAAGCTTCCCCTCAAGACATATTGCTCTGGAGCGTGTAGGTACAGTTCCTCCTCACTTCGGCCAGAAAGATGAACGTAGCTCTGTCTCGGAGCAAGCTGCAGCACAATGCTGTGTCCTGGCAGTCATGCATGTGAATGAAGGGAAGGAAAAGGGGGGTTGCTGCAATGAGATGCAAAAGTGAATCTCATTTTTCATTGGAAAGGGTAATTTCTGTGAAGTCTGTTTAATCTCAGGTGGCACTTCTTTCTAGCTGAACTGAGCTACTCAAATTTCCTGAACCACAAAGGATGAATAGCTTCACAATTTATGGTTTTTCTCTATAGAAAGGAGAAAGTATAATTGAAGATAAGATGTACAGTAGAATTAAATTTTCAAGCTGCAGGTTGGAAGTTTTTCACAGAATATAAAGCATAAAAGAAACATGGAGTTTTATACTGTTCTGCAGGTTATTGCAAATCACACTTTCTTTGTGAAGTCAAAATTGTCTTAAATGTTGCTTTATTACCGGGAACAAGAGGGTGTCTCACCACATCTTCACTTCAGTTAGTATGAGTAAAGACACTCAAAAATTGCAAGTTTTCTGTGTTAGAAATAACAATTAACAATTAACAGTTACATTTAATCCCATTTATTATTATGGCAGGATTGAAGGTCTGCTTCTGCACAAGTGCTCTAATCAGAGCTCAGGTTGGGAGAAGGGAGATGGGGCAATATGCTTTATGCTTGTAGAACTGTCTTTGCCAACAAAATGTGATCCGTCACTGAAAATGTGGTGTCCCCAATCTGTTGCTTGAGTTAACAGGCAGCAAGGAGTTAGTGTCTGAACATCCCTGCTGTGTCCAGAGCCCTCTGATGAACCGTGATGCCAATGTGAGTGAGCCTCTTCAACACCACGTGGAGCTCTTACCATCCAAACCCTGGCACACTGTGGGTATAAACAGAGCAAAACCCACTGCCTCTTTCCCTGTCAGAGGCCCTGTGCTCTCTTCTTCCCTAGCTGGAGGGTCTTTCTACACGTTAGAAGTGTATTTTCCTCTGCTAGCTCTCAGTCCCTCCGATATATCTCTGCAGTTGATTTATGCACCTCTAAAAAGTCCCCTGTGTGTACTTTTCCCTCCCTCTGCATGGTTGCAGTTGAAATGCCTCAGTGCTGAGTTTTCCAAGCTTACTGCACACAGACCAGTAAGTATCCTCAGCCTTTCAGCATGGATAAAGAGTGAATAGTATTGATAGACTCATTTGATTTAGTTATCTCTAGCGTAGCCTTTTCAAGTGGGAGCCAGATTTGTTCTAGGTATTGAAGGACAGGGCAACGCTAACAAGGAATGTTTTGGTTAGTGGAGCTGTCTGAAAAGCTGGTAAAAAGCCCTGAGGGAGGACTATCAAAGCATTGACTGCAGTCTTCCTGAATGCTCTGGCGCTCAGCACCAAGCTTGTTTTCACCTGGCAGTTTGGTGAGTTGGCCTGGTCTGAACACAAGAAAAAACTCAGTTGCAAAAATGTGGAGCAGTAAACAGCAGAGTTGTTGAAACTTGAGTCACTGCATCTGTGTTGTGCTGCGTACCGAAATAATGGCACCGCTGAGAATCCAGCCCTTTTCTTCACCCATGAAACAGCCACGTCCACCTTCTCCGTTATCCCAGCTTGAATTCTTTGTGTGGGTGAATGGGAGGTCTATGTGAAATTTGGCCGAGCCAAAGATCCAGTGAAGGCAAATGTTAACCATTCTCTTTCCATGGCCAAGTCCTTGACTTTCTCAGGTAAAATGTAAGCTCCCAATTGCCTGGTCTCTGGTTGCTCTGCCGGGGTGATCTGAACTGGTTTCCTACAGTCAGACCTACACCCAGTATGTGCCACTTACAAAAACATCCTGGATCAGATGTGAAACTAGTTGGAGTTTGTGGTGTGAACTTGCTTTTAGTAGCATTGTGCCATGGCTGTGCTGGAACCGAGAGCTGATCCCCAGATGCTGGACTGATCCCCCTCTCCTCTTTCTAGCAGTGGCTGCTTCTGATGAGTTTTGTTCTTTACTCTTATATTATTTTCATTTATTTCAGCTGCCCTGAACTGTCTCCTGCTGAAGCCAGTGAGTTTAACTCTTGGTTTCATGAGGAATGTAATGATGCACTTGAGCAGCACGAATGTATTCCACTGCACCTCTGCTAGGGCAGCCTGCTTGTTTCCCCTCCGTGTTACGTAGCGGGGTGACCTGACAGCTGCTGGTTTTCCAAGAAACGTGATTTCCTGAATTCTCCCTGAGATTCCTGGTCTTTTATTTATTTTAAGTAACTAGATCTGAATTTAGGGTTTTCATAAAATTCTGGAAGACGGACTTAGTGTGCGCGCACACAAAGCAGATGTGAGTTGACATTTGCCTTTCCTGGCCCACGGAAACCACTGCAACCTGAGCATGAGAATTGAAATGGGAAAACACTTGTCTTGAGTACAGCTGCTTAACCTCTATTAGTTTCGTGCTGTATTTCATGAAGAAAGAGCTACGTGTTGTTGTCTAGTGTTGCTGTGATGACATCCAGTCACAGGCTGGTGAGTGAGGCAGTGACAGTGCAAACAGGAAACCTCCTGAGATGTGCATGACCTGCTGTTAGACATCACCTTGGCCAGACTGAAAATTTGGGGGTTTCTACCAATTGTTCTAATGAAACAGAGGGAAAATGGAAATAGAGAATTATTTAAAAAAAAAAAAAAAAAAGTTTAAGCTAATTTTCTTTGTTTTATTTCCCTAACACTTGGTGCTGGCGTACAGTGTGCAGTCAGAAATGTTCAGTTCCCTATTACACAGCTGTGCAGTGATCTCCATGGATCTCTCTAAGCACAGCTTCTTCATGCCAACTTCTGGCTGCCATTAGCACTGCATCTTTTGGCACTAAGGGAGCAGGTTTTGCTTTATAAATGTGCCTGCCAGCACTGAAGAGGAGGTCCAGGCTTCAGCTGTGGATTGCTGATAAGCAGAAAAATACCTAGAAATTAATGGGAAGAGGGACAGTGTGGCAGCACCTCGAGCATGCAGTGCTGCTCCTGGGCCTTGCCCCAGGAAGGATGCCTTTTCTGGTCAGCCCCAGCCACCTATGAGCCATATGGGTGCCTTTGGACACTGAATCTACTCCACGGGTCCTTAGCTACTTCTAGGAGGTGTTTGAATGTCATCCTCAGCTTGTGCTCCTTCTCATTTTGCCAACTCATCCAGTACTCAGAAAAAAAAAAAAATAGTTTGTAGGCTTGAAATCAGGGTAGGTGGAAGTCAGCTGAAATGCCAAAGGGAAGTAGAAAACACGGGAGACCGCGCAGGCTGAGGAGAGATTGGCAGGCATGAGAAGAAAGCCAGACACGAGAGGATTCAGAGCGCTGCTGAGGTGAGCAGCAGGGACTGCTGATAGCACGGCGTGTGGATGCAGGTGGCAAGGTGTGATCAGGCAGAAAAACATCAACATCCAGAAATGGGAAGAAGGTGAAAGGTACATGAACAGCGAAGGTCTAAAATAAGAATACTTTCCAGATCAGTAATAATAATTTTATCTTAACATTAGGAAGTCACACGCAAACTAAGCCAAAGCAGTATAAGAATAATTTTATTTAATATTTTGGTAACACAACCGATCTCAAAATGAGGATAAAAGTTAGCTCACTGAACAACTGCATACATTCTAAATGGGAGCTACTAAATTAGAGTAACTTTACAGATTACACGAGGCACTAATTGACCAGCAGCTACGGAGCGTGACCCCCCTGACAGGCACAAGCAGTGTGAATGGAAGCTGCATTAGTAGCCCATGCGTAGGTAAAGCTTTTGGAAGAGTATAAAATTGCAAAAGCCTGTTTTACTAAAACGTGAATGAGTGATCCTTCAGTTATACTAACTATTCAGTTACAGGTTATATCCTTTATTTTTTTAATAATGATACTTAGAAAGGCATAAAGAAAACTGTCTTGCTAGTATTTGATCTAATGTAGATCTCTATATGGAAACGTTGAGTATCATATAAAGCTTTTCACAGGTATAGGCTAAGTTCTGGGATATCACAGACTTGTACATAATTCAGAAAAACACCTGAGGTTACTCTTTTTGCATGGCAAAGAAAGCGTTTTGTTGTTCATGTGTGTGCTTAAGCTTTGAAAAAAGGGAATTGATGCCGTATGAAATCGGAGACCTGAAGTGGTTACAGCACTACTGCGTGGGGCAGTACTGCTAGACTTAGTTCAGGCTATTACAACAGCAGCACTGTCACTGCTGCCAACGTGATGAAGTCTGAGAAGACCTGGCCCTGCAACCCTTGACTTGCTTGGGTCTCACCTCACTCTGCAGCACTGAGCCCTTGTGTTTCTGTATCTACAAACACCTTGGTTCGTGAGGTACGCTCGTTTCTGATGGATGTCATATGGTGATCTGTATCTCCTCGGAAATGCCCAACACATTTCAAAATCAGGCGTTTATGTATGACAGCTTGTTTTTCAGAGAATTATAGGCTGCTTTGTGTGCACAAACATTAACCAGAGGTTCAAGGCCATAAAGTTTCACATACATGTTTTACTTGAAAATAATAGTTTAGATTTTTGTTTTAACCATTTGCCTCATCAAAAGAAGTTAGAAGTACCTTTTTCTTCAGTTAATATGTACAGCAATCAGGATGTGTAATGTTAGTTTTAGCATGATTTGCTTGGAACAAAGTCTCAGAAGAAAAACTATGTAGTTAATTTTTGGATGCACTGTTAAACTCAGCCTAACAGAATGAGTGGTGAGCTGGCCTGTATTTACTGTAGGCATTACTTGTGGCACGAGTGTTTCAATGTAGAACCCCCAAATTCTCACTTCTGCATACTTTGGAACGTGTGAATCTTAAATGATTTACCTATGTGTCAAGGGACAGGGCATTAATACTTTGCATGAGAAACAAAAAGTTCAGCTTTTCCTTTACAAGAGCTTTCTAATTCAAATATCTCTTTGCTTCACACTAATGAACATATCAGCATATGGATTGTATCACGTTTGCTATTTGGTGACATATCAAACTTGACTTTTCCTTTCAAAAGTTAATGAAAAGTTATTGTATCAGGACATTCTGTTCATCCGCATATAAAATATGAATTGTATTTTGAAATGTTGTGCTCATAAGCAAGTCTTTTTTTTTAGTCATTTATGTAAACACTTTGGAACGTTAAAGGCAAGACTTTACATTGGCATTTTCCCAAAACTCATTCAAACATTTATTATTGAGGCATTAATGTACATCCCCAGCAGTCACAACACAGGGCTTGCCACATGCTTATGGCTCTTTCCAGGACGGTGAATTCAGAGGGAGGCTACAATATTCCCAGCGTGTTTGGCTGGGTGGTTTCTGTGTGTTTTGTTTTGTTAGTATGAGATCTTACTTTGGGATGTGGAGTCACTGAAGGCAAAGTTAGAGTTAAGGCACAGCGTGTGGAGACACGGAAAGGATTGTATCACCAGTTTCCAGAGGTGCTCCATCCAACCAGTCAGTAGATATAATGTGCTTTACAATGGCAACTTCTGTGAACATGCAAGGAAATGAAAGTCTTGCTTTCAAACTGCGTATGTTTAATGTTTAATATATTAAATCATTACCCTGGCTCTCCTAGAGTTAGAGAGTACTGAATTATGTCTTGTGAAGTTTTCCTTTCTGCTCTTGTTCCTTGCAATGTTGGCTGTTTTCCCAAAAAAAAAAAAAAAAAAAAAAAATCAGCAAAACAAACTATAACTTATTTAATTCTAAGAAGACAGAGGAAGTATCTTTAGATGCGAGGCTCGGTGCTTAGGTGTTTGCAGACAGCTGACTTTCGTTGGCTGTTTTCTCTGCTTGCAGTCTCTGGACAGCCTTATCAAGCAAATCCATAGTATCTCTAAGCGTAACATTCAAGGTAAACGGCTTCGGTTTAATGGTCAACCCGTAAATGAAGTCCATTTTTGGATCCTCATTTGGATTAGCGGTAAAATGGCACTGATGCACCAGTATGGAGGTAAAGAGAAACAGCTGCATCTTGGACAACTCCTCCCCGATGCACCTCCGCTTTCCCATCGAGAAAATCATCACGCTGCTAGTGAGATCTTTGTTGATGAAGCCGTTCTCATCCAGAAATCTCGTTGGGTCAAAGTCCTCTGGGTTGGACCACTTTGCTGGGTCGTGATTCACTGACCACTGATTAATAAATACCACGGTGTCCTTGGGAATGAGGTAGCCCATTATGAAGGTGTTGGTGGTGGTGGCGTGCGGGATGGTAACGGGCACGAAGCTGCTGAACCGCATGGACTCGTACAAGAAAGCCATGATGTAGGGCAAGCGGGGCTGATCTTCAGCACACGGCAGGCGGTCTCTGCCAACAATCCGATCCACTTCTTCTTGCATTTTGGCCTGCACTTTGGGGTACCTGCCATTTAAAGTAAGCGTGTGTACATACATAACACCTTCAAAAGATTTAGTCGTCTTTCTCAATAATGCTTTTTAAATAACCCGTGCTGTAAACATTTTTCCCAGATCCTCATCCCTGCTCTAAATCAGGCAGCTTGTTCCTGCCATATTTTTAAACTTTGGTTGTGTAGATCTTGATGGAAAACTTTGTGAACTCCAAGTTTTCCATGCAATGGTGTCATTTTAGGTTTGCTCAATTTTCACATTGAAAAATGATTACATGTGACGTTAACGTAAAGGGTGAAAATAACTTAAAATGCTTTGAATCTGTATGTACTGATCCAATTTTGAAGTTTTGTTTTATAGTGAACCTTACTTTTTAAAATACAGGGCTTTCTGGCAGAGTGAGGACTTGGTTTTCCAGCTGTGTGTGTGCCTCCTAGAAGCCAGCACGGGGTTTGTTATCGCTGGGAGTGTTACACCCCCGTGGAGGTCTGCGTGCTTTGAGAAATCCCTGCTAACGGTGCTCAGAGGACTTTTATGAATATCCTGTTCTTAGAAACTACTCTCTTCGTCCCTTTTCTATTACTGTTTAGATGCGATTTCCTCACCCTGTGCTTCTTGCGTACTCTTTCAAACCTTTTCCTATCCCTGCCCAGCTGTGATTTTCTCCCCGACGCCTCTCGAGCCCCCCGTCTCGCCGGGGACGGGCAGCGCGTTCCCCCCCCAGCCTCCCCTTTTCCCTCGCCCCTCGCCGCGCACCTGATGAGGAAGATGAGGAGCCACTGCAGGGCGGTGGACAGCGTGTCCTGGCTGGCACCGAAGATGTCGGTGACGGTGGCGGGGACGTGCTCGAGCTGCAGGCGCGGCTGCTCCCGCTGCAGGCGGATGAAGGCGTCCATCATATCGCGGGGGGCGGCTCCGGGCCGCAGGCTGCGCTGGTGCTGGAGGAATTTTCGGCGGACGAAGGCGTAGAAATCGCGGTTGAGGTCGCGGAAGGCGCGGTAGGCGGCGCGCACGGGGCTGGGGAAGCGGCGCAGCCAGGGCAGCGCATCCACCAGGCTGCCCGCGCCCACGGCGCGCCCGAACTGCTCGTTGCGCCCCACCAGGCGCAGGAACTCGCCGTCGCCGTGGCTGTAGCGGCGGCCGAAGCACAGGGCGCTCATCACGTTGGCCACGGCCACCAGCAGCACCCGCGACGGGTCGAGGAAGGCGCCGCCGGCGCTGCCCCGCACCAGCAGCGCCACCAGCGCCCTCGCCTCGCCCAGCAGGTGCCGCTCCAGCAGGCGGCGGGTGGCCGGGCTGCCGGTGGAGAAAGCCCGCACCGTGGCGTGCGCCGCCCGCCGGTGCAGCTTCCACAGCTCCGAGTAGCCGCCGAAGGCCAGGCTGAGCCCTCCCGACACCAGCTGGAAGGAGGGGAAGGCCGGCCGGCCGGCGAAGGCGGCCCCCTGGCGGACGAGCGCCTGCCGGATGGCCCGCTCGCCGTTCAGCACCACCACGGGCCAGCGGCCCAGGCGCAGCTGGAAGACGGCGCCGTAGGTGCCGGCCAGGCGGGCGAAGGAGAGGTGCGGGGCGCTGCCCAGCTGCGCCGCGTTGCCGATCAGGGGCCAGGGAAAAGGGCCCGGAGGCCCCCGGCGCTCGCCCTGCCGCCGCCGGCGTCTCCGCTGCAGGAGGAGCTTGCCCAGGTGCACGGCGGCCAGCAGGCAGACGAGGAGCAGCAGGCAGCTCTGCGGGGCCGGGGGGCCGCGCAGGGCTTCCCCCAGCCTCTCCAGGGCCATGCTGCAAGGAAAGGGGACAGGTCAGAGGGAGCCCGAGGGCACGGGGGCGCGCCGCCGGCCGGCAGGGCGCAGGGGTGGCGGCGCGTCCCCGCTAGGCGCCCGCCTGGGTCCTGTGCAAAACGAAGAAAAATTAAAAAAAAAAAAAAAAAAAAAAAAAGCAAGGGATAATAGACAATAAGGGCTCAAAAGCGGCGGGGCCGCTGCTCTCTTCCCCCCTGCCAGGGGAGGTTTGCAAACGGCTGAGGCAGCGGAGGATGCTCTGGCCGGACGAGCTCCCCGGGTGCCGCACGCAGACAGGTTCATCCCGGCACCCAGCAGCGCTCCGCCGGGTTAAAGACCCTCGGAGCCCCCTCCTGCCGAGCCTGCCCCCAGCCCGGCTTCTCGGTGGCAGGGGCTGACCGCGGGCTGCGCTCCCCGCCGTGTCCCGCAGCCTGCCCGAAGCGGCGCGGGGAAGAAGGAGGGAGACGGCAGGACTGACCTGTTGCACGCAGCCTCCATCGGAGCCCTCGGGGAGGATGGAGAGGAGCCGGGCAGCTGCTGAGATCGGCGTTCAGATCCCGGGCTCTGGGAATCTCATCGGGAGCCCCGGCTCCTGCCCCCCATGGGGCCGCTTTCACCCGTCGGAGCTCGCCCCGCCGGCAGCCACCTGCCGCAGCCTCCACGGGGGAAGGGTGCGGAGGATTCAGGGGGCGAGAGGGGGGCCGCCCGCCCTGCCGAGCCCGAGCCGGAGCCGGAGCAGCCTCGCCTGGGCTCCTGGCATGGGGAGCCGCGGCTTTAAATCCCCCGGCATCCGCGGTGCGCTGCGCTGCGGGCGTGCCGCACTTGGCCCCGCTGACAAATCGCCCTTCCCCTGGCCGGAGGGGTCGCCGCTATTTGCCAGCCGCCCTTGGGCCGTCGCCAAGCCGAGCGGCTGAGCCGCCGGATGCTTTTTTTTTTCCTTTTTTTTTTTTTTTTCTTTCTTTATTTTTTTTTTTTTATTCACGGCGGAGGAGAGCGGCCGGGAGGCTCGCAGCAGCCCCTCTTGTGTCAGGAGGCACCGTCTCCCTGCATCTCGGGGATGGGGAGGGGGGGGCTTGAGGGAGCCGCCGAGCTTCCCCTCCTCCGCCTGTCGCCTCCCCGTTGCGTGCGGAGTTTGCATTGCGTGAGCCGGGGCTGGAAAGCCTCCAGCCATCTCCTCCCCGGGCCCCTACCCCTCCTCGCCGTACCTGACAGCGGCTCGGGGGGAAGGCGGCGGGGGAGCGCCGGGCAGCTCGCCCCCCGCCGGCCTCGCCGCCCTCCTGCCTCCCTCCCGCTGCCGGAGGGGTTTTTTTTAGCCCTTCGGTCCCCTCCGCCCGGCCCCGGAGGGGATCGGGGGCTACAGCCCCGGCCCGGCGTGAGGGAAGCCCTGGGGAGGGAGATGGGGAAGGGCTCGCTTCGTTGGGGCGTTTGGTGGAGAGGCAAAATAAAGAACCGGAGCTTCTTTGTCAGCTGGTGCGCGGGCACAGCGCGAGGGGAGGGAAGGGGGTTTGGTGGCGTTTGGGGATTAGGCTAAATGAGGTGCTGGGAGGCAGCCCAGCTCGGGGCGCGATCCCAGCCCTGGCCGGGGCTCTGCTGCTTCTTCCCCTGCTGAGCAGCGCGCTCCTGCCCGCTGCCAGGGCCCTGGGCTCCCCCAGACAGCAGCACGGCTCTTGCTCACAGCAGCATCAGCCACGTCTCTCCGCGTGCCTCCCAAATCCCGTCTGTGTGCCTCAGTACACGCTGTGCTGCTTCTTCCTGCCACTGCCAAGTGACAGAGGTGTCAGAGCTTTCTCCCCGCAGCGCCAGCAGTAAGCTCCCTTCCTCCCACCCCGTCTCTGGGGCGAGCTGGAAGGATCCCGCAGTCCAGCTTCGAAGGGGAGCGATGCCCAGCTCTGTCCCTGCGGCCTGAGGGCCGGGCAAGCTTGGAGAGAGACCTGGGCTTTGCTCTCTCCCCCACCACCACAAGGTAGAAAGCAAAGTTCACGTGCTGTAACTAGCCAGCTGTGGCTAAGGCTGTTTCTGGGTGCTGGATTGGGGTGGTTACAGTGGCTCGCAGCAGTTACTGGAGCTCTGGGTTATAGTACTGGGCATTTGCCATCGCCAGCAGGCAAACTTGTTTTTTTTTTTCTCCTGGTGACTGTGGGAGTCAGTTGCCTAAAACCAGACGTTGCAGCTCTTCTCGGTAAGTCCCTAAATCCTGCCTTGGATGCAGCACGTAAACTAGTTGCATTGCACTCTGAGAGTCTGCAGCAAGCAGAGGAGATTCCGTTCCAGCTCCCATGGAAATCCGAATTTACAAAGAAATGATGCCTGCGAGGTGGCCAAGCAGAAGGAAGAACATTCAACAGGAGGTGGCTGCAGGGGACGTGCATTGCCCATGCTGTGAGCCGCAGAGCCACAGCTTAGGGCATTATTTATGTAAATAAGTAAATATAAAGTAATAAAGTAAATATAAGTAAATAAAGTAAAAGCTGTAAATAAGTCCTGAGCCTAGGAGTTATTTAAAAGTCCTGCTACCTTTTATTTTAATGCTGTAAGAAAGCATTTTGCTATATTTTGCTATATTTTTTCCCCATTTCTTTTTGGTCTTCAGAAATTCTGTCACTATTAGAGAGGAAAGGAAGAAAGAAGTCTCTTTTAGGTGTTTTGTTCCTGGGTGGTGGTACCAGCTGGTGCCCCTGCACTAGGCGCTGTGCTCACAAGGTATTTACAGTCTCAGGCTGCTCTTACATTTTAGCCCGAGCATTGCGATGTCCGTACGTGATAAAAGTTCATCCATTTTTCTAGGCTCTGATGCTGTGTGACCTTGATTAGTCCCTTACTGCCAAGTATAGTCTGGGTGAATCACCCCAGTGAATGCGTGACAAGAGAGAGACCAGCCCTTGGTTCCAGAAACTGCCTTCCTGCCTGCCTCTTTATTCACTCTTCTTGCTTCTCTTCTTGTGTTTCTAGCAGCTTAAAGTTCAGAATTGCTCTTAGGTAATGCATGCTTCTTTTCTCCAAATTTTGTGGCTTTATTCAGACAGGAGTACTGCTGAAGCCAGTCCCAAATTTCTGAGGCAAAGCTAGTGTTGTTCAGAACTAAAGACTGAATTGGTTAAAATGTACGCTGCCTAGAGTGAATTTTTCTGAGGCCTAGAAAAACGCACTCAATGTAAGATATGGAAGAGGAAAGCAGTTGAAGGGGCAGAAGTGGGTGGGTTTGGGATTAAGGGAAAGGAATTCGGGCTTAATCTGTTAAAGATCCTGACTGATTTGACAGGAATGCCAGACGGAGGGGCTGGCAGGGTCTGTGGGGACATCAGTACCTCTGCCAGTCTGAACGGAGGAGCTTTCTGGAGGTGGACAAGAGCCCTTGTGGAGGTGAGAGTCTGGTAAAGGGACAGGAGCTGCAAAACCTGGAGAGGCTTCATTTGTCTTTTGAGAGGGACTTCTTAGCTCTCCACCACCATCCTCCCTTTTTCAAGAAAACGCCTTAACCCTTACCAGATTTTTATGCAAGTGTTAAGAGCTACTTACCTAAATAAGGGTTTGCAGGCTCAGTTCTCATTTTTTCTTCAAACCATGACAGCCGCTGGCTGCTTTTTTGGGTACTGGCAAGGTCAGTTAGGAGCTGCTGCACATAAATCCTCTGGAGCAGCAACTGGAATTTCTCAAGGACTTGTCATAGTCTCATTTTCTTTCCTTACCTCTTCCTTTTGCAGCATGCCATGGAGAACCCCCCCCCCCCCACTGGGTTCCTTTGGCTCTTTCCCGTACCTGGGTTCTCACTCTTCGTTTTACAAATTCTTAAGGCGGATTATACAACAGTTGAGCAATGTTTTATCCTGGAATCGCCTCAGTGCAGAGCTTGTACAAATTGTTTACCGTTTAGAGAGTGATCCAGCCCATTCTTCATTAAATAATCCCTTGGAAATATTGTTTCCGATTGCCTGTGTCTGAATGTTGCACAATACTATATCAGATGAAGAAACAAGTCGCGTCGCTGTAAAACACAGATCGCTTGGAAGCTTAAATGCAATGTCCTATTGCATAAAATGTTACTCTACCTTTTGAGCTCGATTCGAATCTCAGCTATACTGATGGAAGTCAGGGAAATCACCACTTAAACGATCATAAATTGACCCCCGTGACCCTCTGTGAGTACAAGATTTTGCTCAGGTTATGCCTGCACAGGAGTCCAGCACGATGTGGAGTGACTGTTTCACTTCAAGAAGGTTCAGATCCAGGAGAAGAAGGTCTGCAGCAGCTGCTCCATCAGGACCCCCCACGGCAGCTGGGTCCAGAGCTGGCACCTGCTGCTCTGCACCACAGAGCTGTACCCGCATGCTCAGGGCTGTCCATGTCCGTAAAGAACCGCTCAGTGCTAAGATTGACCTGAGGCAGGGCTACCACAAGTGTGCAAGATAATGAGATCATGTCTGCTGCACGTTCCTGGTTTCCCTCAGCTTGGCGGCTGTCCCGTGGTGCCAAGGACGAGACGCCAGCAAAATGCGAGGAGCCACGTCCTCAGAGCTGCTCAGAGTGCCAGGCATGCACAGGAGCCAGCTGCAGCTCCATGATTCGGGGATATTTATGTACTTACCATGGCCTAAATTAAAGTGTTTTTGGCATTCTTGTTAAAGTATATATATTTGTGGTTACATATCACATTCTTAACCTTCATTAATTTGCAGCTTTCCTTGGACTTTTGCTCTTCCCTGCATTCCCACTGACTTCCCAGCTCACATTTCCAGCTCTCCCTGGCTATTGTAAAGCCCCAGTTGGGCTCCTAGCCCTGAGCCGAGTTCCCACAGCTGCCGAGGGATGGGAAGAAACCTCGCAGTACTCGCTGGGGCTCAGCTCAGTGCTGGTCTGATTTGTCACCTCTCCATCTGTTTGCATTTTCCGTGTTATTTGCAAAATAAAGGCAAACATCGGAGATTGCTTCCACACAGGTAACACACAGATGGGATTGCAGAAAATGAGGGCATGGTGTTATAATTAATCCAGGCGTTTCTCTCCAAACTGTGCGGTCTCTTCTTGGCTGTAGTAGATGTAACCATGCAGATAAGTCTTTCTTGAGAGGAAAACGTGGAGCTGATCGTTTTGAGGCTACCCTCAGAGTAGCCTTTTAAACTATCTTCTGCTATGAGGCAGAAGAATGAAGTCTAATTTACATGCTGTTGGGCACCCATTCGTGGCATATTGTGTGTGTGTATTCATGCTACACAAATGCTCTTTATTAAAGTACCCCGAGTCACCTGAAAGATGGACAAAACAGCAACATTTAGGAAATTTTAGACCCTGCTCAAGATTTGCATCTGTTCTCAAAATGTGCTGAGTGGGCAAACCGTTGTGCCTGCCTGCTGTCCCTCTTTAGCAAAGGGCCTCCTGATGGCATCTAGCAGCATCACATCACTACACCGCTCGGGTTGGCAGAACCAAGGGCTGTGCTGTGAGAACCCACCCATCTTTTGAACTACGGAAACATTACAGCCTGGATGGGGTGGTAGCTCACACCAAAGCTTAAAACAGTAGTAACATTTAGGGCTAATAATGTTAATGTGTTACCAAGCAGTATTATTACATTTCTCATTTGTCTTCCAGGCTTTGCTGGGTGCTCTGCTGGTAGTTGTGATGTGGAGGTTGTAGTCCCATTGCTGCATTAACTCGAGGAGTTTAATATTTGCCATTTCAGCAAACATCGCTGTATTTGTATGCTCAGTGTAGCGATGGATGGTAGTGCAAACCATCGCCAGGCTACAGCTGAAAGCAAAGTCTGCCTCACTCACAGGCAGAAATATATTCTCTATGCCTGAAGTTTCTGAAGTTTTACTTGTCAGGTTCTACAAAGCCTCTACTAAAGATGTGCAAAGTATGGCTTTTTAGAGATTGGAAATTCGTCCGAATTTAAGTGAATTATCAAGGGAAGAGTAAAAAGCCCAAATCTGGGAGAAAATACAATATGTGGACAAATGACAAGTCTCTGCTTTAAAGCTTGAGTTTACAAAGCATTTCAAAGAAAAGGCCACCACCATGTTTTAACATGAACATTTATTTTCTTTGTTCTTGTAAATGGGTTCAACTGTTTTTAGATCGAACATTTTTTTAAATTACAATGTGAAAAATTTGTTTTCCTGGGATAGGAAATTTCAGCCCAGATGGCTGCAGTTGGACAAAGTTTAAGCGATGGTGACTTGGAGTTTCCAGCTAAAGGAACCCTGCCAGTAGACGCTGTGACAATGCTGCATGCAGAGAGAAGATGGTAAAGCACAGATGAAAGAAAGAAACTTACAGCTCTTTGATGAGAACATGGGTTTTCCTATCATGTGTCTTAGGTGTCTCAGACATTAGCTAAACTGGTGCATGAATGTTCAACTCACCACTTCCCAAGCAATAATTTCTCATGACACATATATTGGTCATGTGGGTTCTTCAGTTTTCTCTGTTTGTGCACCAGCCTTTGATCCCTTGACAGCAAAATAGTTCTTCAAAATGTTACAGTAGGCAACGCAACTTAAATTTAGCAGTCTCTAGAGCAATCCTGAAAGCTGAATTTCAGAATTCTCCTTCCTTCAGAGAATAAATCTTGTTGTGTAGTGGGGGCTGCAGACCTAGGTACAGAAGCTGCGTGGAGATATGACCATTACTTTGTCCCCTATTATGATGCCTCCAATCTTGCTGCTTAAGAGAGTTCTTGAACTGGGCTGCATTCATCTAAGAGTACTTCAAAAAGTGATACCAAAAGCCTCTGGCATGGTGTGTATATATATATGTGTGTGTGTGTGTTTTCTCTTTTGGAGCCAGAGCAGGACCATTTCTGAGGCATAGCATCAGGTGAAAAAGGCAGGTCTTGGCTTCCTGTACTTCTTCAGGGTTTTCAAGGGGCTGGCAGTGTGTGCCCTCCTCCTCTGGGCTTCACTTTGAGCTTTGGAAAAGCCCGTTCTGCTTTCTGGCAGGTTCAAGTGGGTGTGCCAGACATGCCTGCGCTATTAGGCAGAGACTCCATGGGGTCTGGGGTAATTTCTGGTACAAGTGATTGAACTTGTGTAGTGGAGAGTTCACAGTGTTTTAAATAAATGTTACCCTTTACTTAAGCCTGCTTCTCACAGGTTTTCTGTGGGAGGAGGTTGTGCTGGGCACAAACTGATTGCCAAGGTGGCAGACGAACCAAACGGGGACACGATGATGTGTGCATCATGAGGGCTTTCCCTAGCTTTTAAACATGAAGAGACAGGCCCTTAGCTGGGATTTTCCATAGTAAATCCGTGTCATGAACTAAGAAATTTCATGTCAGTCAGGTAGATGCTTGTAAATGTCACCCCTT